ATGTTCCGTTCTTTTTGCTATGCTCATGAGGCTAGGGGCCTAAGGTATCGTTTTTCTGTGGTAATGGAGGCGGAGCTTTCCGTAATAACTTCGTTAATCGAACTTAAGCCAATCACCATTCCTTCCGCTGGGTTCCTGGAACGTGAAGCAGAAATTGCAGCGAATATCGCTCAGGGAGATTTTCAAGATTGTTTGTCGTAAATATACACTGTCTGGAAATTCTCCAAGTTCTTCTTTTGCAACCTCTGCATTGTTATTTGTAATAATGTATTTCTTGTGACTTACGCGATTGAGTTAGTGGGAAGTTTATTTCAAGGCCACGTTTGCGGAATTCGTTGTCTCAGAGGCTGACGTGTTTCAGACTATTTAGGTTCACTATATCACACGAGGCCTCATCTCCTCTAGCGCTCTAGCGTTGCGTGGATTTCCCGCTCGTACGGTGAACGTCGGTGAGTCTATCTTCCCGCGCTTGTTCTGATATCTCGAGCGGTTTCGACTTGATGCCCGAACCGCTAAGGATGGTTTGGCGACTTGGTGATGATAGAGTGTGATCTATACTCGCTAGTTTCAGGCTCTTGGAGGACGACCGATTGTCGAAATGTTGGGCCTTTGAAATAAATTTCAACATCAGTGCTTGTCAGGCCACAAGAATTTAAGACTGTTCAGAGAAATCGCCAGAAAGGAGGAGTGCCGGATCACGGATTGGATTTTGTAGACATGATGCCACGCGTGTGTCCGATCTCATGTCGGACGAAGATTTTATATCCAAGTCGCCCGGCTTGAGAGTAAAAGTTACTTAATGCATTGTTATTGCTCCTGTTGCTAATTTTTGGCGCGAGTGCAGGGCTACATATCTGTATCTGCCTATATCTATGCAGCCTCCAGGTCATGGAGAGATCGTGCAGGACGGTTTTCAAACGGTTTTCGCATATAAGTAAAGGCGCACGTGGTATTATAGTACAAAACAGTGCTTCATTTACCCTGAACGGCCCTATGAATATCAGAAAAAGAGCGAAGAACAGCTTTGAGAGAATGCCGTTTTTAATGCGCCATTACTCCCCCTAGTTGACTAGTCCTGGAGCTGGCCTACCGTAGACGTTCGGCGGGACCGCTATAGGTGGAACATTGTAATGTTAATTTTGAATTATGAATGCAGGTACAAGTGCTTTTATTTTTCAATCGCTTAGCAATCAAAAGTGTTGATGTTAGTTGCCAAACTTGATAAAACCGGAGAATAAACAGGTTTTTACAACCGTTCGGATCACTAAAGACATTTCAGGTAAAAAATGTGTGAAGAAGGCCCTAGGACTGCATGTCAGGAAGAAGGCTGCAAACTTCCTAAAGAATCATCTTGACAAGTTGCAGGTAGGTTTTAAAATGAGAATCCTTTATTTTTATAACCGTCTAACTTGGGGTCGCGGCTTGTATGTATGTTTCGCATCGCAAGGATGAAGTGAATGATAAGAGCTATGGAATCAACAAGCCGCTAACAGAATCAGTGTAGCTCGCAGTACTTGAGCTATCAGTGTTTTGCAATGGCATGATTGTGATAACACCCCAACGGCTACATAAACACCTACTGAGGTCACTTCCAGGTTATTTCACATGGTGCTGCGGTGGCAGCTGAAGGTGAGTGGAAGGAGAGGAGAGAGGGGTGAAGTGTTCGAGGAGGGTAGGCGGGAAAGCCAACCCCCAACAGGCCTAGGATGCAATTAGGCTGCTGGTAGGTCATTTGGCGGTAAGTGTACGCTGTGGAAGGAAGGTTCGGCGATTGGCGCGGGACCAACTGAGTACACTATTTCATTGAGCTATCTCAATTACGTGCAGTCACTGACTTCTTCTAGAGAAGGACTTGTAAGGATAGTAGCAGTTGAAAGGGGATGGGGTTACGTGCCGAGTTTTCGCACCAACCTCCGGATTTGTTCGAATTTCATTCGGGAGAAAGCGCTACGCATTTGTGTACTTCTTCTACAGCTTTTTTATCTTGACGCATTGAAATTTCAGAGATGTGACGGCTGCGGGCGAGTTGAGCTTGGAGAACATCGGTTGCGCGACACAGTATATCATGCGTCTTATCAGTAAGTCACTTTTTCGTAGACGCTTAAACCCTGCACCAGACAGTCCTTTTCTTTCCTCATGAGATCAGCGAGGTTATCTAGAATTGAAAGTTGTAGTCGTTCTGAAAATTAGTGCCTGAACCACAGCTTTTCCCGACGTCCATCCTCCTTTATTGGCGCAAAATGCTACGAGTCGCTCGAATACATACATTCTGTAATCTCCGTATGGGTTTGATTCGAGAAGCAATAAGTAAACTTAAATGTCATCGAAATGTTGTTGGGCAGTGTTTGTGAAGATTATTATGAATTTAAATATTATTCTGGAATGATGAACATATCACGTAAGATGTGTTCAGACCAGGAAAGAGAGAGGAGATCTGCCAGAATGTTTAAAATTGCGGAGATCATCGATTGCTTTGATGAGCTCGAATGTGTCATTCAATTTTAGGGCTAGCCGATTAAGTTTTTGTTGAGCCGATGTGATTAAATCCCTAATCGTTCCACAATCTCAGAGCACTAACTATAAGCATATGCCTTCTTACAAATAAGAAACTCAGTCAGTAACAAGGCAAATGTCCTCAAAATCGGGTTTGGTGTAATTATCAGAGGGGGGAATCTCGATTCAGGGCCCAACGCCCTCCATATTGACCCAAAATTTTTAAGTTACTTAAAGGCAGTGTCAGCTAATGTTGGACCAACAAACTTTTGTGTCTTTGTGATTGGCAGCGCACCAGAGACGTTTACCTGGCTAGGCAATCTCAAAGGCGCTGCGATAAGGCACAGGAATTATTAAAGGCAAAAGTCAGGCTCGTGTTTGGGCATTATGGCGCCTGAAATTGAGTGTAGAGATGGGAAGTGGAACGACAGTGAAGAAAAAACGAAAAGAAAACCGTCAACAAGGCCTAATACGAGACCCCCCTCTCCAAAAGCAGCGAAGAAGGCGGGCGTAGCAGAGAGCAATGTTCGGACGAGTTGTCCGGCCATGCTCTCTGCTACGCCCGCCTTCTTGGCATCAAGCCAGCAGTAGCTAGCGTATCAATGCCCTTAGTCAGCTGTTTTTTTTTGTTGGTTTAGGGTTCGTTTTGCACCATTTCGCTTTTTTTTGCCATTTCTTATGTTCTTTCGATCTTTCTTGTTCTGTTTTTTTATTCTCTTGTGTTTTAGGAAGATGCCAGTGAACTTTCGGACAAGCACACTAATCGGAGGTTACGGTTCGTATTTTTCTATTTTTCTTATTTGCACTCGCATCGATTTATTTCTTTTCTAGATGTTTGTTGATGTTTTGTGTGGTTTTGTTGATGTTTTGATGTGCATGAACTGTTTCTAGCAGCTCATTTGGCACGGTTCGGAGGGGCTCCTACCTTGGCTGTGCAAAGTCAAGTTACCATTTGTAAGTTTCTCCTTCCAAACTTCTAAAAAGTTGGTTTTCAGTGATTTCTTTCGATTTCATTTGTTTCAGACTAACAAATTCATAGAATTTGTTCCATATTTGAGTAGCAGTTCTATAATTTTTCAGAAGCTGCGCTTTGTTTTCGAGGGTTGAATGAGAAAAGCTACAATTGCAGTGGAGATGGAGAACCAATCAGCTTTTTCGGGTAGGTCCTGGAGTGACTAAGTCTAAAAAATGATTGCTCTTTGTTCCATGTGTACTTGAGTACTCACACATTCACCTATGTCTTGGAATTGCTTGGTCTGCTCGATTTATATCCTTCATTTCAGAGATTCCTCTTCAAAGATAACTTCTCGCTGGCCTACAACAATGTGAAGACCCATTGATTCGTTATTCTACAGATCAAAGAAAGAGGACAGAATAAGCAGACTTGTACCCATTTCGCTAATCGCGTTGTGCGTGTGCTGTAATAATATGGTAGATGTTTGTTTGGTGACGTATTCCAGAACTTCAATAAAAGCTGTGCTAAATGCTTTTATAAGTAAGGAGAACATAAAACGCACATAATGAAAGCTTACAGGCCACGTAATATCAGAAATTTACTAGTTTTGCAAATGGCATCGTCATGTCATCAACTTAATCCTGCTCAAATATCTGAACTACTCCTAGCCCTAGCATTTATAGCAGCGAATTGTTCTAACTCCACAAGCTCTTGTCTGTGAACTAAAACCACTACCGCTGCCTTATTGCGTTTCATGTCCGCGCTCGAGTCGTTCTGCACATTTAGAGTGCAGGCTCGCTATCGAACCTAAATCACATCTAGCAATATTGTCTAATTGCAATATCAAACTCAAGTCCGTCGTATGGCTCTTCCCTTATTGATGAAATAAAAGAGGTGGCATAAGCGTCTGCAAAAAGGGCAAAAAAGAAGAGTGCGGCATTCAGTTTTCATAGCTAATTATAATGCGACGATAAAAATGGGAATAGCGTGAGGCCACTGATGTTCTCCATCGATTATTCAGGAGAGAACCTTCATAAGATGTTACCTTCATAATGAAAGGAAAACGGACATCTGCTGTTTATACATAAGATCTCGAATATTTTCCAAAAACCACAAAAAAACAACTTTCAATGTCGAGAACCACTTTATTAGAAACCTTCAATTTTCAAAAACACATAATCCTGTGACCATAACACTGTCATACTGCAAAACATAATCAAAAACAAGGAGAAGTAGCAAAAACAGTTTTACCAATGCAAACATGATAGTTACGCTTGAAGCGCGCCTTCCTATCAGCCGTCGTCGGAGCGGCTTCCAATCAACAAATAAACTTCTATCAGAGAGTAATAAGCTAGCAGTGAAAGAACCGCGAAAGGATTTTGATGTCGAATGATAAGAAGCTAACGAGAGTTCATCATAACAAGATGAGTGGAGGAAGGTGTTATATCTTCCTCGTAGCAAACTTGTGGGAACATTTAATCACATAGTTACAGATTAGTCCAACCACATACACAAATGATAACACCATTGCTGGCAGTTTCCAAACTCACTTCATGCCTCGACACAGCTTATTCGCGAAACACTCAAGATCAAGAGTTTTTTGATCGTCTGGCTCAGGATCAATATCAAGAGAGGAATATTCAAGCTCTAAAATAGTATAATCAAGCAAAATGAAGCTTCCAAGTATTATTTATTTCGATTACAAAGAAAAAAACAAGGACCTTACCGCAGGGGACCGAGTCGAAAGGAGCCTGCATTGTGATTTCCATAACCTCATCGTTGATATCACCAGGCTCGCTAGGTGGATCGGACTGTGGAACAACATCACTCGGTGTACAAGAGGAATTCGGGCGGTCCATTTCCTGAAGCGCAAAAGAATTTTATCGTAGGTGGATAATAAGGTATGCAAAAAAGCACAGTATTACAGGACCTTTAAGCATTACTTCACTCCATACACTCAGCAAACTTTATCAGACAAATATTGAGGCTCTAAAGAACTTACTCCATTTAACATTTCCTTGTTGCCGTTTAGATCGACAACTGTGGCAACTTCCGCTACAACTTCGGATTTTACAGCAGCTGGAGGTTGGGTAGCGTTCAATTCGTCATCATCGCTGTCACTAGCAAAATCATCTGAAAACGCGACAGATATCAAAACGGATAGTTCTCTGCTCGATTTAGAAAAGTGTGCTTTCCATCTTGAGAAGATACCTAGGGTAATAGTTTGTGAGGAACAGCCATCTGCTCCTTTTTCCGGCTGGTTTGACGACTTCAGATGTTGACGGACGTAAAGGTTGCAACGTAAAAAATTTCACAAAGTGCAGGAACATTCTGTAAAGGAAATGATGAGTATGTAATATCGAGAGAAAGCGGAAAAAAGCATAACCTCTTTCAAAAGATCCTTTAATTCTGGCATCAACACAAAGAGAGAATTCAAATCCGAACTGTTAACCCACG